ACTACTACTACTACTACGACTACGGGGCTCTCGGGATCAAGTGCTGACGTAGGCTCGACTGTGGGCCTTGTCTGCGCTGTTCCTGGTGTTGACTTTCTGCATCTTTCCGCTATAACATGTAAGTTCCGGCCTTGCGGGTACCAATTCCCGCAGATCTCTGTATTACAGCTGACTATGCAATCGATCACTACGAGATCTCCGCGTACATGAAAAGAAGCCGTCAACTATGAAAAGAGCGCCTAGTTCTAGTTTTAGTGTTCGTACTGCCTAGTTAATACTGCGAAGAGAAGTGATACCTGTGGTCACACAGAAACAGGCGATGTATGATCGCATTCTGATAACATACATAGTTGCAGCAATGAAAGCAGTACACACGCCGATGCACGAAAAAGAATCTTACCCCCTGTGATGCGTAATCCCACCACGTTCCTTTGCCCATGTACTTCATGTATGTATCAAAACGTACTCCCTGTGATTCGTGCCTCCTCGAACCTCTCCTCGCCTGAGCGCAAGCGCAGGAGTTGAGCGAGGTCTGGGAAGGTCACGGGATTCAGCCCACCTGGACCACCGCAGGTCAGGTGCCTTTCAGCGGTCTTTCAGCCCAAATCCACACAAACCAAGCTCAAACCAAGGCACTCAGAACATGACGGAGGTCAGAGAAAGTGCGCACGGACTGAGGCCAATGCACCACCAAAGATCAACTCACAAAGATCAAGGTCGAACCAGGCCATCACGGCGGCACAGGGACATCATCCGGGAGCCAGCTCGTGGAAATGTCTGGAAATGGCAATGGCACAACAGAAGCCGGCTTCGCATGCTTCGGGTATAGTGACTATATGGGAGTTTCTACGAATAGGGGGCCCGTAATCTAGAATCTACACTTTAAGAGACACCCTAACAATGCCTTAAATACAGAGACCGAAAATAGTAGATTCGCCCACATGCGTCTGCGCTTGCAGGTAGCAGACTGACACGCCCAACACGAGAGACATGACATCAATCTGAAGGAAGTTTCTCTCACGCACGGTACGACAATCACGAGGAGAGGATGATACGCAAGTGACTATGAAAAAAGGCACACGTAGCAACAACACATCACAATTCTGGCGAAGTGTGGCGCACTCAGCACTGCAACACAACTTCTGTCGACAATGCTCGTCGATCTGACCTTGCACATAATAATAACCTCTCAGTAAGAATCCTTCTTATCATTCATGCTGATCACCATGATCACAAAACAACCTCCAGGCCTGTCCGTTAGTGAATTGCCCGTGTTTGGATTCGAGTGGGTCGCTGGAGGCGTCCAGTGTTGAATATTTGCTGAGAGTTCACCCGCGACCTGTTTCCAACGTTCTCATGCGCGGTCTCCTGTACATATTCGAGACATAGCAGCATCAACACTGGTCTTGCATCCACCGGAGGCCTGACAGTTTTGTCCTGGCCCGGAGATCGATTCCGACACTCTTGGATTCTAGATCATCAGGCCGCCAGCTTGGACTTGGTGCCGTCCAGCGGCATTACATTACACAGCCTGAGTCAGTGAGAGAAGCCAGAACGGTCAAAGGTAGAGGAGTCGGAAGCTCAGGTCAAGGGGCATCTCTCCGATCGGGATCGGCTCGGGGTCCGCTCCGGGTTGAAGTTATTCCACACGTCTTCGAAATATCCGACTTCCTGAGACAGCACATTGCACAGTGTCTGTGTGTGTGCAGGGTTCCGGATGATGCGGATACTTTGAAGACCAGCACGCCGAGCTTCTGGAAATCCAGTTCGCCCAGCAGATAAGATCCGAGCCTGTCGATGGCTCTTGCAAAGCAGTTTTCTATCCGGTAGAGTACTTTCTGGGATTTCTGAGTAACCAAGTACCGAACCGTCTGCAGAGACACAGCTGTCCCCAGTTGGCGTAGTGCACCCATGGCCTCAGAAATTGCCTGAGTTGACTGGAAGCACAAGATCGGCCAATGCCACGACCAGTTCATGGAGACATGCGCTGATAGATGTGGGCTGAAATGAATGCATGGCAAAAGGCAATCGCTTGTGGAAGCAAATGCCTGACACACTGCAGATCGAGATGCAATTATGCAATCAAATCATGCGCAAGTATGCATTGCGCAAGTATGCATTGTGCGAGTTGGTTAACATTCAGGGCATGCTGTCGCTTGACCGAGCCTCAAATCGAGCAGGCGCACCACGTCCCGAGGTTGCTGAGGCAACTTTGGAACGTTTGTAGATGATGCCTGTCAGCGCAAACATGGATCCTGAGTGGACTTGGCATGGCCCAACGTCAAGACGAGCCGCGGCATCGGCAGGGCCAGCAGGGAAGCCTGCCCGAACGGCCTGTGATTCCAGCAGCGTCAGGCCCAATGCCGACTCCAAGGCACCGACCTTGGAACATCGCCCGATGGCATGAAGCACTGACTTAGACTTAACATCCCATGTGGATGTCATTACTGAGTAGGGGCAGAGATTGCCATTCAGACATGCAAGACTTTCGACGGGCTTGTGCACATGTGCTGGATGGCACAGTTTCCTGGAGTGCCTCCTCTGTTTAGCTACTTAGCCACGGCACTTGAGTCCGTGTACTTTGAGAGAGGCGTGCGCTGGCAGCTTGGCTGTCAGTATGCTCGTCGATGCCGAAGCCGCTGAGATTTGTGAGAATGGGCGTGCATCGAACTCGCAAGAAAACTTGGGCCAAGTGACAATACCCTCCAGCTCTGGCACCCAGGTTTGCAAGCGACTACGCCGCCAGCTTTCCAAAGGCCAGTGGTACTTCAAGACATAGCAGTTCTGCAAGCATCTTCTCGCCTGCACGGGGCACTCCCCCAAGGCCCAAAGTTTCAGCAGAACGGCACACAGCGCAAACTTGGGGTCCTGGATGCAGGCGAGCAAGCCCTCCCAGGCTGCTTGTCCTTCAGTAGCGGCTAGTCAGCTCGTCTTCTGAGATGTGAAAAAAAGAAGGGAAGTGCTTTCCTGCGGTTTGCTGCTTGGCTTTCGGACTAGTGACTATACTTTTTCGTGGCAAGCCAAGCTGCGGCAACCGCGTGACTCTCGCGACACCGCCGACACGAAGGAGTCCTGAAACCCCAACGGCCATATCAAGGTTGAGTCTGTCACTGTCGTTGCGGATTCTGGCTCGAAGCATGCTGCAAGTCATGATGATTGCAAATAGTAGCAGTAGTAGCATTACTTCTGCTGAGGCTCGGCATCATTTCCGTAGCGAGGCTCCTGAATGCTGATGCCCAAATCAAACTCCTGGCACACCGGTAGCATTTCATGCATCTGGCACGCACGGCTGGGCAGCTGGGCAGTGCACGCTTCCGCCTCTGCCAGTACCAGAAGTGCTCGGAATAGAAGCTTCCTTGGAACATCGAGCCGAGCCCACTGCCAGAGCTCAGCAACGACACGCTGCACGGATTTCGTGGCCACGTTCCAGCATGAAATCTTCACTGGCGACCTCGAGAAAGATGGTGTCCCAACCCACAGCCCAAAATTCTGAAGATTGCAAGCGTCGTCCTTTCAGGTTGTCGCTCGTTGGCAGTCCAACCTTCACATGTGCGCAAGCACGCGGCGTGAGGGTGGCCTTCGCCACGCGTGGCCCTCAAACCCCGCCCCGCCACAGGGATGGTTGGACATGAGTAGGTCCCATGCATATGCGATGCAGGACACATAGAGGAGAGGTGTATGTCTCGCCATCGTCTTAGCAATGCAGCACTGGCTGTACTCTAATCCGGGCTTGCCTGGCTTGTCTGCGCTTTTAGTTTGGATCTCATGGTAAGGAAGGCCGTGACCGAACGCACGGCACTTTCAGCATCAACTGCATCGTTCGTGTGTTGGCAGCAGAGGTGCAATGCGGGCTAGTTGCCCTCAGCGAACTTTATCGCACTCGTCTGCCAGACCGCGGGAAGAGCCCCATCGAGGAAGCCAGCTAAAGCGTGCGATGCCAACCCTGCGACTTAAGTTCTTCAGCTGAATGCCACAACAGTTCCTGTTGGCAGAAAGCGAACATGTTCTACGGTTTTACCATGTGAAGGTTGCCCAACTATTGCAGACATCGATGTCGACAGGACAAAGTCACACAGTAGTCACGGCCTTCAACAGTAAATCGCACGGGAGCGCGCCTGGCAAGCACTCCCTCTGCAACTTCCACCTGACAAAAGTAAATATTGATTGTCACTTGTGGCTTTGTTGACCTTCCTCCTTCTGACGGTGGCCAGAAAAATGGCTCTACACTCCACTCTGGGACAAGCCCGCCATGACGGCACGGCCAGGGGAACTTTGCAAAGCAAGGCGCAGCTTAGCATCTTGTGCGGAAGCCCCAGCCGTGGGAGCTTGGGGGCCCGCTGCACCGGAAAAGCCGCCCTTGGCCGCAAGTCGCCAACAAAAGGCTCGGTCTGCAGATCTCAGGCAAGGGTTGGGCCTCGGATGCTGGAAGACGGCACTGGTAGTAGTCGAAGCCTCACATTAGGCTCTCTGCTGGAAGCAGTGTCTCGATGTCTACAGTAGGCCTCCTGGTTGCCCTTTGTGCAGCGCCCAGTCTTGTCCGCAGATATAGCCTGAGGCGAGCGATGAAGAGCACCCTGTGCGGAATGCGCATGAATGCGCATTCGCAACAGGCAAGGAGCAAAAGTGGCGACCGCAAACACTGCAAATCCTCAGTCAAAGCACGGCTGTAACCTTCTTTGCTCCGAGTCCCCACCCGATCTCTCCTGCGTGTCTCTCTCTGTCTTCTTTCATAAGGAGCTACCTCCTCCCCGCGCTCCAGGCGCTCCCACCCCCTTATGTAAACATTCCCCCTGTTTTACAAGTCTTTCACCAGTGGGGCTTTCCAGCTTGGCGGGCCGATGCCCCGGTCTGGATCATCAGCTGGTCAACAGTTTGTGCCCGTACTGATATAAAACAAGTGCACAGCGATAAAAGCCATCCCAAAAGGGAGGGCTGAGAGCAAACCTTCAAGTCTGCAATGCCACTCATCGGGCACGACTTCAAAGGATGCAGCAGTGGACATCTCCAGAAGCCCTTCCGCCGCTCTCGAAATGACTGCAAGATTTGAATCAAGATGATGTTGTGTGAGACTTACGTTAACAACAAGAAAGTTGTTCTGCATCTGACAATGCTTCACTAACGACACAAAGTCATCGGTCTGAGCTCACGCCCCAACGACAGTTGCTGAAGACCTCGTTCTTCGTCTACCCAAACAAGTTTCCACTCCCCTTGAGCACTGAAGACGAGAGCAACACTGAAAGCCCATGGGACGACCTGCAAGACCGTGAGCTGCCTCTTCTGATGAGTTGTCTGATGGAGGTGCGAGTGTCGTTCAACAGAGATCAAGTCAGTGAGGTGACGCTCACCTGCTGTGTGCCACCGATCCCTGTCACTGGCATGCGCAGCGATGGCTGTGAAAGACAAATCGTTGGCATCAGGGTACTGCAACTTACAGGCCCCACGGAGCCATGACATCGGCGTCGTGACTACGCCACCACCCGTTCTGAGAACATGGCCTAAGTAGTTCCAAATCCTCTGACGCCATATGCAGTGCCAACCATACTTAGCAGAAGTTCCCACAAAGAGCAACACGCACCGTCGACGGAGTCTATGCAAGAACATCGCAGTGTCATGACTGACATGCTCTGGGACAAAGAGCCGCAACATGATGACCAAAACTGACACTTGTAGTGTGAGAAGCGTCTGTAAGGCAGCTGTTGTCGGGAACATGAGAGGGAGATACCAAAAGATAGTCGCACCCACATGGCGGTTTACCAAACGAATTGCCATGTACGGTTGATGCCAGCGTAGGCCCTTGACAACCTGCCGCAACTGTTCCGTGGCCAAGTGCACACGCTGCTTCATGATCGGAAGGAGGACTGTATACGTAGATTCCGCAACCTGCAAGTGACTAAAGTCATAAAGTATACGATAACGACGATGGAAGTATGTGTGCTCTCATGGACATGCTCCCCCTTTTATGCACTGACTGATGTTCCGTTTCGGCCATACTAAGCGGACAGTAGCTGTTAAAGAATAGGAACATCGTCAGGCAGTTTCCCCCACTGTATGGAAGGTAGGAGGAACTTGTGCATCCAACACAGTGAATTACTCAGCACCTTTCGGAACATGAAGGTTAAGGTTGCAGAAAAGAAACAGTTATACCAGTCCGAAGTATCTAACAGGTTCTAAGCTGTGTACATTTCCCCCTGTTCTACAAGTCTTTTGCAGGGTGGGAGTATGCAGCCCTAGGTGCGCGACAGCCAAAGGTCAGTTCTGTGCCCATCTTGAATAAAACAACTGCACAGCTATGGATTCTCTCTCTTCACTTCACTTCACTTCACTTCGGGGTCCAGGAGGCTTGTCAGGCCCCCCGCGC